CATTAAGCTAGTGTTAGAATTGAGATAATAAGAATTGGCTGGAATGCAGCTATTTTATTTTTTATTTTTGGTTTCCATATAACTCTCCAGTCACATTTTTGGTTATTGGTAAATACTCAAATTCGGTAACAGAATGAAAATGCAAGTAAATCAACAAAACAGGAACCACAGTACGAGTTTTTAACAGGGAAAAACATGTTTCATCACATTGCTAACATGAGCTTAACCCATATACTGCCTATGGAGAGATGCTCTGTGCACGATTACAAATCATGAGTTAATTACAATTGCTAACAGTCAATGGTGACTTAAGACAACTCACTATAAATTGTAATACGTCAACCTCCATGGGGTTGGATTCTTACACTAGTGACTCGCTTGAGTAAGATACGGAATTTGACGTGGTAGGTAACACCATGAGATGGAATACATTAGACAAGAGCTAGAAAGAAATGAAATAGTCATATCCCCCAAACCCCAAGCCAAGCCTGTCAAAACCCTGGAACCCCTTCCAAGTTTTTTGAAATTCAGAAATTATTTTCAGATTTGAAGTATCAATTCTTTCACCTTCTTTGTTAATCAGAAGTTACGAAAGATATATGATCTCATTATCAGCTCTTAATTCCATCAAAACCCATTGTACGGTTCGATGAATTACATTTCCTATTGAACAATAACAACTGGAATTATGGGAACTTGTTTCTGTCGAAAATCTTTGTGGCTTTTCTCAATGGAAAAAGAAAGTCCTGAAATATATCAAATATTTCTTTCTAGTTTAATTAATAATCTTCACCACTTAAAGACTTACTACTTGAAAGAAGATGAAATCACGGTTTCAAGTACAAGAAAAGGGTAGTGGGGCAATCGTGACAGCATAGTTTTTGTTTTGCAACTATGAAGAAGAAAAGACTTCATTCAAATTTTTGAGAGGTCAGGGATGAATTTGAGAAAATAGAAGTGCAGGTTACAGCTCGATTGAAGTTTATCCTTACCATATCCAAAGGATATAAAAAGGCAAAAATAAATCTCTTGGTGCCCCGATGCTATCCTATTAGCAATCTTAAGCTTCAATCCACACCAAATATAATGAGAAACGATCATATGAATGAAGCCTTGTAAATTAGTCCATGGCTGAAACCAATAAACTTGAACCAAATATATATAATTGCAACAAGTCACCAAATTCACCAAAAATCACTGATGTCAAAAATCAAAGTCCACTAAAATTATTTTAAAAAAAATTAAAGAAACCTTCTCAATAATCCACATAAATCAATTTGACCACTAACTAACTACATATTTATAAACATTAAAGAAAATAACAGCAGTAGTTTCGTATCAGGTCAAACAGTTCCAACTCAACCCAAACCAGCAGTGCAAATTAAAGGAACAAAGAACGAATGAGTGGGCACACCAGGCAAACAAACAAAAATACCTTCAAGCAACCAAAGAGAGGGAGCGATCCGAGCAGTCTCTACCACGGATTTCGGTAAGGGACCCACCGCTCCAACCGACGACTGATCCAATCATGTTATCAATCCTGCTCTCAAACTCGGGGGTCCAGAATCTAGGTAAATCAGTGACCGAGTCGAAGTGAGTCGCGAGATCGAACACGGAGCTGAGGCACGGATCTATGCATACCTGCAACCACGCCTTGCACACCAGCATTGCTCCCAGCCATCGGTCTTCCAAAGAGAGGCGCGATAGGATGTTGATGAGGCATTCGCGAGTCAATTCGGCCCAGTTGTGAACGAGTTCTCCTGAATCAGTGAAATTGCCTTGGTTCTCGTCCTCTATTGTAGAATTTGTATGGTGAATACAGTTGAATTGATTGATTTCGTTTGATGCTACGAGTTTAAGATGCTAAGGTGGCGTCTTACATGACGATTTGAATTGACCCATTCCAATTATTGAAAAAAAAATAGAAAAAGGGTTGAACCCCAACCTTGAGATCTTCATCGCCTCGTCTCTAGAGTTTTGTGAGGGAAACAAATCGCGGAATATGTCCCAACAGGTCAGGGAACAAGAGATACATGTACACTGCGTCTACAAGGAGTTCAATTCTATATCTCAAGAATCGAACTCCCACACTGCGACTGTCAGCAAGGCGTGAAATAATCACACTCCTATCCTTTATACCACTGGACTATGTCCCGGTGGCAACCCATCCCAATTATTGTATCAATAACATATGGTTCGGGGAGATGGAAAAATTAGGTGGAAGTTGATTTTTTTGATATTCAAAATATTACATAATTTATGCTTAGGTAAACTCATATTACACAAAAAACGTGATTATATTTACAATTCGTCCAAAATTTGTATTCTGTGAAAAAAATTGACATAAAACTTCGAGCTTGATTCGGGAATTTAGTAGTGGGGAAACAGATGTTATTCATGTGCATGTGATGAACGTATATGTTATATGTTGAAGGTTTGAAGATGTGACATTGCGCATTTCGTATTTTCTAAAGTTGAACACGTTGATGATACGATAATAATTTAACGCTACAACAATAATTGAAAAATCTAACAAAAGATAACAACATTGAATAAAAAGTCGACAAGACAATAACAAATTAATAATAAGAGCATATTTGATACAGCTTAAAACCCAATTAAATCAATTTTTTAACTGTTATTTCACCATTCCAATCGTCATTGTTGAATTCTTTTCTCACGTGTAGGACTCACTTTATCTCTAATGGTCAAAAAATTAATTAACAGAATTCCTACCAAACAAGCACTAAGTCAATAAGACAATAAAAAGTCAACAATTAATTTTATTATAATTTTTTATTAGTATGTCTAAAAAAATTGTGATGAGATGTTAAATGTGTCAGTGTATTCAACATTAGAAATCGAGTCTGAAGCAACCGATGGTCCAGATAATAGCAATGACCAAACATCAATCCGATTAGAGATGATGCAATAAGAATATACCATATTTATAAAATAGAATGTAATCATTTCTAAAGTTTCAATTAAAGTTGTTGTTGCTGTTATTATTATTATTTCTGTTGTTGTAGAAAAAAGGTACTATACAAATAATTTTTTTGAGCTTCTTCTTGAAAATTAAAAAATAGCATCAATATTTAATCATATGCTTATATGTTACTGTGATTCTACTTTAAATTTTCATTTAGTAATTGAACAATAATAATTTTAATTTTTTTTTCAAAAAATATAAGATAAAATTGAAGACCTATATATTTATTATTCTTTTTTAGTATAAGTAAATCTTAAAATACTTAGCATATAAACCTCCGTTTGAGACCTATTAAATTTATAATATATTTTTCTCTCCTCCACACTCCCCAAAAAATATTATTCCAAAAATTATAACATCAAATAATGAGGACCAAATGGGGGCTAAATGTTATTCGAATCAAAACCACAAAAATTCGATAGAAGTGGCCTAGTGTTATCAAGTTCATCAATCAATTCTCAGTATTCAAAACTTTTGTTATGAATTTGGCTTAATGAACTTGAAATTTGGACAAGAACTGCGCTTAAATTTGAATATGATCTAAATTTAATTAAAAAAAAAATGTTACAAAATGGATCTAGGTCAACCAGTCACGTTGGATCCGTCACTGCCTTTAAGTTACTTATTTTTACATTGTTCGAACTTATTCTACTAACAAAACTTTCTCATATGCAACAACATCTTAACTTACATTCAACGAAAATAACTTTTAACCACAATCAAATACCGTAAGCAAATATAGACACCGTTTGACGTAGTTAAAAATCAAAGTTTGAGTAGTTTTTTTATAAAAGTATACCTTTTGTAAATTTTGGTAAAAATTAATTAAATATATGATTGAAATTTTTAAAAAAGTTATGAGCAAATAAGGGTTAAATCCACCCATGGTGACTTAACTTTATACTTAGTATCACCATGATCATTCAACTTTACCATGACCATTTAATTTGAATTTATTTCACCGTGACCACTCAATTTCATGTAACGTTTTATCATGGCCACCAACTTCTTTTCACCCTTTTCACTAATTTAAAAAGTAGTAAAATTGTAACTTTTTTAATTTTATTGTGTGAATATATAGTTGATAATGAGTATGTAAAAAAAAAAAAAAAACAATTTTCAAATAATGGTTATCAAAGGGGGGCTTAGGCATTTATTTTTAATATGCTTTGCATTTTTAATAATACCAAAAATAAGCATTTAGTTAAGTTAGGAGTGGTACAATGTAAACACTATTGTAATATATTGAAATCCATTGTTTTGGTTTGGGGTAACAGTGTTGAGCAAAACTTGGTTCAACTGTTGAAATGGCTTTGGAGAAGCGAAGGGCACAAATTGACACGATTAAACACACAGTTTAAATGTCGAACGCAGAGATTTTCCTTAAAGTATTCATAAAGGTATGAAAAATACATGAATAAATACTAGATATTTTGTGCCTTTGAAATTTCAACAATAAAAAATTTAAGCCCTCAATTCATTGCCAATTTGGCAAAGCATGCTTTAAACCAATTATTGAAACACATGAAGAAAGTATCTATTTTCTTCCATTTCCAAATCGACCAAGATAAGTCGAAGCCATATAGAGAACGCACGTTACAAAATGAAAGCATAAATTTAGTCCATATATTTAGAACATCTTCAATGCATTTCATATATTACAATTTATATGGCATTTAAAAAGAAAGACTTTCGATTTATTAATAATTAATATTTCAAAATAGACAGCCTAATTCAAATTTTATCTCCAATGAGTTTTACAAATATTTCAAATTTCATTGCTAGTGTATATTTAATGAAAATAAAAAAAATTTGAGAGAGAGAGAGAGAGAGAGAGAGAGAGAGAGAGACCATTTTTCCCCCCCAAATATTACATAGGTAGATGATATGGTATCCTAGTCTATTAGGATTTGGAAAACATCTACAGCATTCATATGGATAAACTCTCATTGTTCGTGGACAATCACGACTTGAAAAGAATGAAAAGTCTTTATGTTAGATATTTATCTAATAATCAAAAAGTAAATAAGATTATTCAGTAGTGAATTTCCAAAAAGTACAAATTTATTGTCAAGAAAGTGAGAACGTTTTCCAAGGACAAATATTTTATGAAGTATCGATAAAATATTGAACATGATCACTCACAAGCAAGATAAAGAAAACACACTATAGTTACATGAAACCCTCAAAAAGCACAACTACTTCTAAATCATATCACACAGTAGCACCTAATTATTGATGCAGTAAAAAAGCACTCTAATGTCCATATTCACTTTTGACAAGCAAAACAGGCAATATTTAGAAAGTCCACCTTGATAAGCCTCCTCTTTTTGTTGATTTGAAGTTACCACTGACAAATAAGACAGATAAACAAAATTAAATGAATCAAATGCTTTAGTATCATGACACTAATCATCAATGGGTTCTATCAATTTAGCCCATATTTGGTGAAGATTAAAATCGGATTTATAGTAAATTTTGATAAATGTTAATGAAATGTGCAATTGAAAAATTATGAGTCACATAATATATGTGATTTAAATTAGTTGTTGAATTTACTTTGATTAAAATCTGAATTTTAATTTTTTGCCAAATAGGGGCTTAAACTCAAATAGATACACAAAGCATTAGCTATTATTTATTTTTGTAATAGATGGTTATCAAAATATATAAGTAAGTGCATGATGCATACTCGTGCAAAACAATCCTAACGTCTTGAATTATGAATGACTTTGGTTCAAAAACTCTTATCCATCTTTTTGTGTTTGGTAATCTTGACTGGATATAGCAACTAAAATTTTTGTAACATATCCCTCAATTATAATCAATATCGTCTATTCCAATTAATTAAGTTATTAAGCTTTGGGTTTGAATTATGAATTTGCGTAAAAGAGAAATTTTGGATTATTTTAAATTTTAAATTTATATCTTAACAATATTGTACTGAAAATAAAAGAGTCTTTCAATATTTTATCGCAAGGAAAGAAGAAAACAAGGAAGAAACTGTATAAACCATGATAACTAGAGAGTGCACACTAACCTCTTCAATACTAGTCTGACTTCAAGGCTCCACCATTATTTCACGTAGTCTCTCCGGAACATTTAAGTCCTTTTGGTAGCACACGAACTTGCAAAGGTTTGGCATCCCTGTTTGATCCACAATCAACTCGGGAATTTTTGTTCCGTCAATTTCCAACACTTGAAGCTCTGGAAAGCTGTTTGCTCCTGAGAAATCCAGCATTGAGTTGCTGTACGTACAGTAGAACAAACTAAGGATCTCTAGACTGGGTAGTTCTTTTAGTACCTTCATTGGATCCTCAGTGAATATCATATCTGAAGGTTAAGGTAGATGAGGTTTGGAGGGAATTCAATGGTGTCAAGTGTACATCGAAAATCACGACTTAGTGCCAGATTCAACTTAGCAAGATAGTCATAGTGGGACAGGTTTAACCTCTTAAGCTCCGGAGTGTTCAAGAGCAAGTGTTGGAGCTTCTCCAATATGGGTGTTTTACCAGATATTACATCTATAAGTTGGTCATTAATCTCATATAAACCCAACTCTCTCAAGTTGGAGAGTTTTTGTAATGAGCTAGCTCTCAAAATGGTACCAGACACCCAATATAAAGTTTCTATGTTTAGTAAATACACCTCATCTCTGACATTCAAAATTGTGCTTGTGTTATACTCAAACCTATAGTCAAGGAAACATAGTAAATGCTTCAAATTCTTCGTCCTGAAAATAGTTCTTGGAAAAATATCAAATAGTGCTTGACTAGCATCCAGTGTCACCAATTTCTTGAAGTTCCTTATGGTTGAAGGCATCCTTTCAAACTTCCCACTCAACTTAAGGTAAGTCAAGCTACTTAGGTTTCCTATCTCATTAGGAATCAAAGACCATTCTTCCAAGTTATTGAAATAGAACAAGGTACGAAGTTTTGGAGTTTTAGAATTTGAAAAAGAATATTGACTGGTGTTGTCAATGGTAAGCCTACGAAGAGTTGAAAAAGAATTAGAGTGTATATCATGATGTGTACAAAAGAAATTGTTCTCCTTGGCTATTTTGATGCAAAGAACTAGTAGAAGATCATGAATGCCACAACGTTTTACACTTCCATCAAAATTTCTCATAGAAACTTGAATTAAATTTCTATCACTTAAGATTTCTAATTTAGCTGCCGCAATGTCATCAGGATTTTGATTTCCGTCATCCCGGATCAATTTCTCGGCAATCCAAGCCTTGGTCAAATCAGACACAGAAATTTCTTCATCTTCGGGGAAGAGCCCAAAGTAAAGGAAAAAAGGCCGCAAGTCAGGAGGTAAATCTTTGTAACTCAGAGACAAGATTTTTGAACAATTATTTTCAGTACTGGTGCTCAAGATTTTAAGCACCTCATTCCATGCATGTTTATTTCTTCTTCTCTGCCGCAACATGCCCACCGCTACCACAATTGCCAATGGAAACCCACCACATCTTTCTACTATCATCTTAGCGATATCTTCCAATTCTATCGAAGGAAGTATCTCATTCGTATTTCCTGAAGAAGATTTCATCAGCTTGAAGAAGAGTTCCCAGCTCTTCTCTTTATCTAAGAGTTTTAATTCATTCAAAGAGCTTTCACCACCTATATATCTGCCCACATCAGTACGTCGAAAAGTAATGATAATTCTGCTACCATTTCTTGAGTTCATGGGGATAACGTTCTTTAAGTCATCCCATGCTTCAGTTGTCCAAATATCATCTAGAAAAATTAAGCACCTATTTTCATTGAGCAGAGAACGCAAGTTGACCTCCAAATCTTCATTCCTCTTTTCCTTTTCAAGGCCAACTTGCTTTGCTATTTCAAGTAGAAGGTCTTGGACTCTAGGCTCATTTGAGACAGACTACAGCAGCAGAAGTAAACTCATTTCGCATATCTGTATATATTTTTTTACAAATTGTAGTTTTACCCACACCTGCCTCCCCTACAACACATATCATTTTACACGCTGAGTTTGAGTTCGTCAATTTTCCCTTGAATTCCTGGAATGTATCTTCACGACCAACAATTATTGAATCTGTGGCAACTAAGAATTTTTTTCTTCGATCCCATACGTCCATATCTGCATTACCTGTTCGATTTAATGTGGTTCATAGTCATAAGATATTTGGTTTAATTATTACAAGTTACAAAAAACATAATTATTTGGGAATCTACCATAGAAGCTCTTTCCTACTGATTGGACAAAGAAAAATAGCCCTCTTTCTCATATTTATAGAAGACTGCAATTTAGAGATCTTGATTTTTCATATTTATGTTTCTTTGCCAAAAAGGGAAAGAATAAAAATCACAGAATATAACATGTATAGATTTATATTGATCTAAATGGATAAAATCAGCATACCTCCATCCGTATCCAGATTAATACGGCATCTTTCTCTAGTGGCTTCAATTTCTTGGGCCCGTCTCTTGATTTTCTCAATTTTCAGGGCAAAGGTATTTTTAGTGAAACCATAACATAGTATACAAGCAGCATGCTTAACAAATCGAAATGGACCCTTTCCCTTGTGTGATTCAATCTCTGGAAGGGAAGTATCAAAAATATCCTCGATGTCCAGAGCAAGCTCTTTCATGTCAATTATCAAGTTAGCAACTTCATGGCTTCCACCTTGCTTCGACTCAGCATCTTTGAGACATGATTTGAAGTGTCTCATTTGTCCTTCAATCCATTCTATGTCTTCCTTCAATCTATACAAGCGTGAGCTGTTTCGACAATTAGATTGGCGCCTATTTGTACTGCTTGGTTAATGACTGCTGTAAGTGCTGCTGACTCTGCCATCTAATCTCCTTCTCTCTCAAATTCAGATGTGAATCGAATGAAACTCAAGATTGTAGTGAGTAGTGGGAGATGATCGGAGTGGAATGAATATCTGTATACATTAATATAGTTCTCAGATGACATAATTTTGTTGTTATTTTAATAGCAATATTATATCTTAGTTTGTATGCATACGTCCTTCGTAGCAACTGCATTGTTTCGGTAAATTATTTATGAAAGTCTTTCTTTAATGATTTAAGTAAGCAAAGATTAATGAAATTAAGAGAGTATATTTTTTTATTTCAGTAAGATTCGAAGTCCAACAAACGTGAGACAAATAAAAATAAATTAAAAATCCAATAATCTATCAAGTTGACCATGAACTTCAAATCGTAACAAACTTTTTTTTAAACACATTATTCTTTTATTGAAAAACCTTTACTTGTGGCGAAGGAATACCGTAGTTACATAAAATTTGCAATTCACCATCCAAATCAAAGTAAGCCAAACTCTGTGAATCTAAAACAACATTGGGAGATTTAAAGACAAACTGTGAGGAAAATAGCCTCGCAAATTGGGGATGCTCAGTTTATCCGTACGCAAAGTTCCTTTAACTGATGATGAGATTGTGATAGAGTCCATCCAGATCTGTGAAACACAAGACGCTCCCAATTTTGACAGGATATTAGCTACCGAGTTGTCCTTCCGACATATGTGTTGAACTTTTCAAGAGATTGTGAATAGCAGGTATTGTATTTCTTCCCAGTAACAAACTTGTTTGGAACAACAAATTTGAGATATTGTACCACTAATTGACACATAGAAGACAATAAAAATAATTTGATTATTTTATTGATGTTGTATTTACTCTGTCCAAAATATCCAATAGGTACAATATGAATTGAGAGCAAAAAATACAAAACAGCTCCAGATAGTCGAGTCCCATAGAATAAATAAACAAAAAAGTAGAGGATATACATCTTTTTAATCAAATATTCATATTTTAGTATTTTACAATTCATTAAATTTTAATATCATAATTACTGCAATTTAAAACTAAATTTGATCTACACAAACATCACTTCTAAATTTAGTCTATGATTCCAGCATTTATCATGCATACAAACAGTCACTCCAAACAGTTGGTTTATCTCGAACCATTACCCAGCATTATTTTTATTTTACTTTTGTAAAGAAAATTATTATAAGATTTATCAACTTTAAAATGTACATATTACTCAATAATATATTAATATAAAATTGTTCCTTTTCATTCAATAATAAAATTTTATGTGATAAAAAGTCGTAAAATAATTTCTCAAATATCCAATCAAACGTATTTTCTGATTTTTTATTTTGAAAACAACTTTTCAGAATGTCAAATTAACCATGTTTTAATAATATTAAAATAGGCCATCAAAATAGAAAACTAGAATTAAATTCAAAACTGAAAATCGAAACATGAATCAATTGTGCCCTAAATGTGTGGATTTTTATTCATTTTCAATGCTCAAGACAAAGATGATAGGATTGGCATCATTACGCCCAAATAAATAAAATAATCATTTGAATGTTTGGTAATTAAGTTTGTAAATCTTCATCGTTAATGAACCACATTCTTCCGTAAAAAAGAAGAGAAAAATGGAAAATCAAAAGGTGGGGACTACGCTGGAGAATGCCAAATTATAATTACAAATAAGCTACGTAATTAACTTGTTGATAAACTAATTTATGCTTGGTTTGGTGCCATATTCGTGGGCGATAGTGCCGCGACATACCTCATGTTCACACAATGATTTTAGTAAACATGTTTAATCATCCAAATTAAAATTTGACACTTTGATTTAATTCCTTAAATAAAAATTACGATTCGACAAGAAAACAGCATGTATACACCAATTTGTGCATTTTTATACGGAAGAATTTTCGGATGTTCTGTATAATCCATGTTTGTGAGGTAAACATAGATTGAATGACTAGTGCTTTTAATTTTAATCGAGAAGGTTTGGAATAATTATTTTAGAGAGGATAAAATTGAAAGAAATTTTGAAAAATGACCAAATATCGTGGATTTGATGGGTTAAAAAGTACAACCCAAATTATACTACCTTCAAAAAGTTAATAAGTATTGATTTTTCCAACATCTCATAAATCATGCAATCTAAAAACAACCATAACTAGTGAAAAAATGACAAGCAGGTAAAAGTTTTCTTACAAGGACTCAATCCATGGTAATTAAAGGTCTAAATAAAGTGTATTTTGTGGACTTTGCCCCCACAATCCAAAAAAGTAAAATATATAAAAGATTCAAAATTGGTGAAAAACAAACTTCTATCTTTAAGGTTTTGATGCTCAACAGCCACAAAGTGTAAACACAATAATGGTGGTGTAAACATCCAAAAAATTTCCGTATGGTTTCTTAAGGAATTCTAACACAGGCTGTCACGTGGAACGCCTTGTCAATTTCAATTATGAGTAGATGAGCCTTCTAAACCAAAAACATGCGCAAAAACGAATTGTACCACTAAGCACAAGGGAGGTTACTTTGTGGGATCAAAATAAAATAAGTGTGAGATCAAAACTCGTTGATTCATAATGAATATTGAAAAATGATTGTATGGCTCCATTTGTGAAAAAAGTTTTAATAGTGATTTTTTGAAGAAAGTGTGGTTAAAAAAATTAGGTATACGTGCAAAATTATTTTACTTAAAGAATATGTGACTTAAAATAAGTTTGAAAAAAATGAATATTTACATAATTGGGTTCATTAATTGGAAAAACAATTCATTTTTGTACTTACTGGTTTTTTTTTTTTTTTTTTTTTTTTTGTGGTAATATTAAATCTTATCTCATCATTAATTTGTACAAAACTTATGCTTCAATTATGAATCGAATTATTGGTGCCTTATTTCAGATCGGGCGTGCCAAACAAGTTTGTTATGATTAATTAAAGATCTTGTGCCAAGTTGGTGAATTCTTTGCTTTTATTTATTTCTATGCATGTTTTTGGCATTTTGTTCATATTGTACCTACTGGATATTTTGAAATTTAAATAAAATAATCAGATTTTGTTCACCGTCTCCCATGTATCAAGTTGATTTTATTTATTTTTAGTTGTCTCAACTTTATTGGACTTGGAATCTAACTGAATTCATATATATATATATATATATATATATATATATATATTTTATTACTTTTTAGAGCTCATTTTTAGACAATTTTTAAACCGTTGCACAGTACAAAACCATTTCTTTATTCTTGATTTCTGACATCAAATTAACAATAATATGTTGAAGTGAACTCGAAAAAGTAAAAAATACATTGCTTTTGTTTGGAACGATACGTGCTCACATCTCCAAATAGGGGTAACATTGGAAGTTGCCCATTGTATATGCATAGTTGTGAAAGTTGATTGTACAACTAGAATAATTCATATGCATAACACTATTTGAACTAGTTTTCACATGGTGGCCCATGTGATGTGAAAGAAGAATACATTTTTTTCCACAGTAATGGCTCCCAAACGAGTATATGTCATCCGTAGCATGTGCATTATTTCAGTAAATTAATCATGAAAGTCTATCTTTTATTTAAGTAAATAAAGATTAATGAAATAAAGAAAGCATATTATTTCAGTAAGATTCCAAGTCCAATAAAACTGAGACAAATAAAAAGAAATTAAAAATCCAATAATCTATCAACTTGACCATGAACTTCTAATCCTAACAAACTCGTTTGAAACAACAAATTTGAGATATTGTACTAATATTTGAGACATAGGAGACGATAAAAACTATTAGATCATTTTATTGAGGTTGAAATTAATCTGTCCAAAATATCCAGTAGGTACGATATGAACTAAGTGCAAAAAATACAAAAAAGCCCAAGCCAGTTGAGATCCATAGAATAAATGAACAAAAAAAAGAGTAGAGGATATACATCTTTTTAATAAAATATTCATATTTTAGTATTTTACAATTAATCTGATTTTAATATCATATTTACTGCAATTTAAAGCTAAATTTGATCTACACAAAATCATCACTCTATCTATAAAGGTCAAACAATTAAAAGAAAGACAATAATAAAAAATTAACACTAGAAAAATCAAATGAATAAAATATGGACTATCCATGAAACTCCATAACCCATAGACTAAAATAGTAGTTTTTTTCCATATTAATATGATTTTATCAAATTTCAAGTCGAATACAGTTATCGCTACAATGGTGATTTTGGTCTCTATTCATTTTTATACTTATTGGGCATTTTGTTTTGTTGTAATATTAAATCTTATCTCGTCATTAATTTGGACAAAACTTAAGCTTCAATTATTAGTCGAATTTTGTATACAGTTTCCAATTTGTGAATATTGGTGCCTCATTTCAGATCGGGCGTGCCAAACAAGTTTGTTAAGATTAATTAAAGATCTCATGTCAAGTCGCTGAATTCTTAGCTTTTATTTATTTCTATGCGTGTTTTTGGCTTTCTGTTCTAATTGTACCTACTGGATATTTTGAAATTTCAATAAAAAATAATCAAATTTTGTTCACCATCTCCCATGTGTCAAGTTGATTTTATTTATTTATAGTTATCTCAACTTTATTGGACTTGGAATTATATATATATATATATATATATATATATATATAGACACACACACACACATTATTACTCTTTGGTCATTTTTAGACAATTTTTAAACCATTGCACAGTACAGAACCATTTCTTTATTCTTGATTTCTGATATCGAATTGATGACAATCTACCAAAGTGAACTTGGAAAAGTAAAAAATACAAGGCTTTTGTTTGGAACGATACGTGCTCACATCTCAAGATAGGGGTAACATTGGAAGTTGCCCATTGTATATGCATAACACCATTTGAACTAGTTTTCATAAGGTGGCCCATGTGATGTGATAAAAAAAAGTCCTTCCCAGCAACTGCGTTATATTGGTAAATTAATCATGAAAGTCTTTCTTTAATGATTTAAGTAAACAAAGATTAATGAAGTAAAGAAAGAATATTTTTATATTTCAGTAAGATTCCAAGTCCAATAAAGCTAAGACAAATAAAAATAAATTAAAAATCCAATAATCTATTAACTTGACCATGAACTTCTAATCCT